ATTCGTCCCTAGGTAGCATTCGGCCAGCCGGCAACCGCCGAGAGGGATGCGAATGTTACATTTTAACGAGCTGGCGTACCGTTAGGGATCGACTCAGCAACAAAGCATTCTTACTCTCAGATCAATATACTGAAAGCTGGCCATCTAGGGTATGAGGGCCGGGTAGGGTATGGGCAGGGTAGGGTATGGGCAGGGTTAGAGTATGGGCAGGGCAGGGTATGGGCAGGGCAGAGTATGGTTAGGTGATGGGTAGGATAGGATAGAAGTTGGGCATGGGCAGGGTAGGGTATGGGCAGGTAGGGTATGGCTAGGGACCCAAATAATACCAATAAAACGATTTTTAACCCAGCATAATGCATCCGTAAAACCAATTTAATCAAAACATAAAGTTATAGCGCAAACCATGCCATCTAGTCTATATTATGATTTATAAGTCGTCCGTGCGTTCTCCATCCATCCATCCGTGTGTCATGACTTATGTGTCTTATTGCGCCGGAACGGCGCCGCGTATCGACGTGAAATTTGGCATGCCGAATTTGTGGGCGTGGGCGGCCTTTGTATTAAAATTTGGGGGTGATCGGCCCAGGGGTGCGCCGTCGGCACGTGCAAAAGGGTGCTCCCATAGGCTTAACACGTGGCCGGCGAAAACCGCCAACGGGCGAAAACCGGGCCTGCAGCGCTCCTTTCCCGAGCTTATATCTCGGTAACCGTAAGTCGCAGCGACATGCGGTTTTCACTGATGGATACAGAAGAGATGGGTCTATCGTATGCAATAAGTTTTTTTCTTAGGTATGTACCACGTGCAAAGAAATAGCCTCTAATCTCGAGAAAACGGGCATTTTTTACACATTTCAGGAAAAACGTTGGCATTTGAAAACGATGCACTCGAATGACACGGGGTGCATTTCACGGACTAAAAGAGGATCTGGCCTCTTCAGAATATATATATTTTTGGCCATTCACTCGCACATCTTTATAATTAAACGCTTACAAATTGCGAGTTTTACGTGAAACAGGCACGCTTACCTTTACAACATCATAATATATTGATAACGTAGACTTATGGCTAAAAGTCCTTAATATATTGAAAGAGCACTCTTTTCTGATCAATATCCACCCAAAATATTTTCAAAAAGTCATCAAGGGCTCTTAGAAACAGAGCAATCATTGTACCGTTTTCGACGCATTTTTACCGGTTGAGCGGCGGCCGGGCTTGAACGCAGCCAGGGCGCGGTAATATTACCGTGTGCCTTATATTCGTCTAATACTCGCCCCTCTTCCGCTGACAGCGCGGCCGAGTGGATAAGATGCCTGTTTCATAATCCGAAGGCGGATGGTTCGCGGCTGGTCAGCTACAAGGTTTTTCGCCCGAATTCGTCCCTAGGTAGCATTCGGCCAGCCGGCAACCGCCGAGAGGGATGCGAATGTTACATTTTAACGAGCTGGCGTACCGTTAGGGATCGACTCAGCAACAAAGCATTCTTACTCTCAGATCAATATACTGAAAGCTGGCCATCTAGGGTATGAGGGCCGGGTAGGGTATGGGCAGGGTAGGGTATGGGCAGGGTTAGAGTATGGGCAGGGCAGGGTATGGGCAGGGCAGAGTATGGTTAGGTGATGGGTAGGATAGGATAGAAGTTGGGCATGGGCAGGGTAGGGTATGGGCAGGTAGGGTATGGCTAGGGACCCAAATAATACCAATAAAACGATTTTTAACCCAGCATAATGCATCCGTAAAACCAATTTAATCAAAACATAAAGTTATAGCGCAAACCATGCCATCTAGTCTATATTATGATTTATAAGTCGTCCGTGCGTTCTCCATCCATCCATCCATGTGTCATGACTTATGTGTCTTATTGCGCCGGAACGGCGCCGCGTATCGACGTGAAATTTGGCATGCCGAATCTGTGGGCGTGGGCGGCCTTTGTATTAAAATTTGGGCGTGATCGGACCAGGGGTGCGCCGTCGGCACGTGCAAAGGGGTGCTCCCATAGGCTTAACACGTGGCCCGCGAAAACCGCCAACGGGCGAAAATCGGGCCTGCAGCGCTCCTTTCCCGAGCTTATATCTCGGTAACCGTAAGTCGCAGCGACATGCGGTTTTCACTGATGGATACAGAAGAGATGGGCCTATCGTATGCAATAAGTTTTTTTTCTTAGGTATATACCACGTGCAAAGAAATAGCCTCTAATCTCGAGAAAACGGGCATTTTTTACACACTTCAGGAAAAACGTTGGCATTTGAAAACGATGCATTGGAATGACACGGGATGCATTTCACGGACTACAAGAGGATCTGAACTGTTCAGAAAACATATATTTTGGCTCATTCACTCGCACATTTTTATAATTAAACGCTTACAAATTGCGAGTTTTACGTGAAACAGGCACGCTCACCTTTACAACATCATAATATATTGATAACGTAGACTTATGGCTATAAGTCCTTAATGTATTGAAAGAGCACTCTTTTCTGATCAATATCCACCCAAAATATTTTCAAAAAGTCGTCAAGGGCTCTAAGAAACAGAGCAATGATTATACCGTTTTCGACGCATTTTTTACCAGTTGAGCGGCGGCGGCCGGCCTTGAACGCGGCACCGGCGCAGTAATATTACCGTGTGCTTTATATTTGTCTAATACTCGCAGGTCATCCGCTGACGGCGCGGCCGAGCGGATAAGATATCAGTCTCCTAATCCGAAGGCGGATGGTTCGCGGCCGGTCAGCGACTAAGTTTTTCGCCCGAATTCGTCCCTAGTCTATATTATGATTTATAAGTCGTCCGTGCGTTCTCCATCCATCCATCCGTGTGTCATGACTTATGTGTCTTATTGCGCCGGAACGGCGCCGCGTATCGACGTGAAATTTGGCATGCCGAATTTGTGGGCGTGGGCGGCCTTTGTATTAAAATTTGGGGGTGATCGGCCCAGGGGTGCGCCGTCGGCACGTGCAAAAGGGTGCTCCCATAGGCTTAACACGTGGCCGGCGAAAACCGCCAACGGGCGAAAACCGGGCCTGCAGCGCTCCTTTCCCGAGCTTATATCTCGGTAACCGTAAGTCGCAGCGACATGCGGTTTTCACTGATGGATACAGAAGAGATGGGTCTATCGTATGCAATAAGTTTTTTTCTTAGGTATGTACCACGTGCAAAGAAATAGCCTCTAATCTCGAGAAAACGGGCATTTTTTACACATTTCAGGAAAAACGTTGGCATTTGAAAACGATGCACTCGAATGACACGGGGTGCATTTCACGGACTAAAAGAGGATCTGGCCTCTTCAGAATATATATATTTTTGGCCATTCACTCGCACATCTTTATAATTAAACGCTTACAAATTGCGAGTTTTACGTGAAACAGGCACGCTTACCTTTACAACATCATAATATATTGATAACGTAGACTTATGGCTAAAAGTCCTTAATATATTGAAAGAGCACTCTTTTCTGATCAATATCCACCCAAAATATTTTCAAAAAGTCATCAAGGGCTCTTAGAAACAGAGCAATCATTGTACCGTTTTCGACGCATTTTTACCGGTTGAGCGGCGGCCGGGCTTGAACGCAGCCAGGGCGCGGTAATATTACCGTGTGCCTTATATTCGTCTAATACTCGCCCCTCTTCCTCTGACAGCGCGGCCGAGTGGATAAGATGCCTGTTTCATAATCCGAAGGCGGATGGTTCGCGGCTGGTCAGCTACAAGGTTTTTCGCCCGAATTCGTCCCTAGGTAGCATTCGGCCAGCCGGCAACCGCCGAGAGGGATGCGAATGTTACATTTTAACGAGCTGGCGTACCGTTAGGGATCGACTCAGCAACAAAGCATTCTTACTCTCAGATCAATATACTGAAAGCTGGCCATCTAGGGTATGAGGGCCGGGTAGGGTATGGGCAGGGTTAGAGTATGGGCAGGGCAGGGTATGGGCAGGGCAGAGTATGGTTAGGTGATGGGTAGGATAGGATAGAAGTTGGGCATGGGCAGGGTAGGGTATGGGCAGGTAGGGTATGGCTAGGGACCCAAATAATACCAATAAAACGATTTTTAACCCAGCATAATGCATCCGTAAAACCAATTTAATCAAAACATAAAGTTATAGCGCAAACCATGCCGTAATCGCCACGCCATATGTGGAAGGCTTTTGGTGTCAATACATACATACATACATACATGCCATCTAGTCTATATTATGATTTATAAGTCGTCCGTGCGTTCTCCATCCATCCATCCGTGTGTCATGACTTATGTGTCTTATTGCGCCGGAACGGCGCCGCGTATCGACGTGAAATTTGGCATGCCGAATTTGTGGGCGTGGGCGGCCTTTGTATTAAAATTTGGGGGTGATCGGCCCAGGGGTGCGCCGTCGGCACGTGCAAAAGGGTGCTCCCATAGGCTTAACACGTGGCCGGCGAAAACCGCCAACGGGCGAAAACCGGGCCTGCAGCGCTCCTTTCCCGAGCTTATATCTCGGTAACCGTAAGTCGCAGCGACATGCGGTTTTCACTGATGGATACAGAAGAGATGGGTCTATCGTATGCAATAAGTTTTTTTCTTAGGTATGTACCACGTGCAAAGAAATAGCCTCTAATCTCGAGAAAACGGGCATTTTTTACACATTTCAGGAAAAACGTTGGCATTTGAAAACGATGCACTCGAATGACACGGGGTGCATTTCACGGACTCAGGGGCTTCCGACTTTATGTTGAGCCATAGGGAAGGCTCCGGCGGTGCACTCCGGCCCATATGACGTCACTGCGTTTCCGCTTCTTTCCCGTTTTCTGAGGGCTTTGGTAAATAAATTTCGCAGTTTTTGGTCCAAATCGATTGAATTGTGCGTTTTTCACATTGTCTAAAGATACCAGTGTGTTGTTTTACTTGGTTTCTGCGATAAAGCGTAGCAGTAACTTAAGCACAAAGTGAGTTATTTTGCAGCTGTTTAAGGCAGCTTAACAAGTCTTCTGCGTATATGGCGCGTGTGTGACATGAACCGATTTGAATTTTTCTGCAGAAATATGCATGTTGTCATTTCAATGATTGATGTTGTTTTGAGATTGTGATGCTTTAAAATGTAAGATTTTATTTTAGATAACTGAATCAAGATGCCAGCCTGTGCTGTAGCTACATGTAAGGTCTGGAGTGGAGGTTGGTCGAACAAGAAAACTGAAGCCTCATTTTTTAGATTTCCAAAGAATCCCGAAGTCCAGGCTGCGTGGGTGCATAGATGTTACCGCCAAGATCAATTCAATGTAAAAAAACGCTGTTGTGTGCTCTGAACACTTTGTTGAGACCAAGGCTATATAAACCGTTGAGACTGACTATGATCCATCATATCTAGTCAAGAGAACTCTGATGCCAAATGTGAAGCCTTCACTGAAACCAGATGCCATCCCTTCAAGGAACCTACCCTCAGCCTCATCACTGTCAAGGTGTGTTTTTATTAAATGTTAAAACTCATGTTGCCCATGATAAGGTAGTTTGAGTATTAGCTTTTATGAATATGGTTGTACGTCAGGTTTTTTTCTTTGTGTTCTTTTGTCGTTAGAATAACTGATGCATGCCGTGCCTGCAGTTTGGATTGTTTCCACCACTGAGGCACATAGGCTCATTACAGCCTGTTGATATCATATCACATGCCCCTCCCACTTTCTTAATTTCCTTGACATCATTCCTGGTTCACCGTCAATTTCATAATTTTGTAAGTTTCAACTTTCACAGTAGGTAGCTACCTCATGGGTGCTCAAGAACAGGGCCCAGTTTTTGTGGTTCATCTGTACTGAAGGATCAGTCCGCAAATTATGGCAGGGAGCTTGACACTGTTCTGGGCCGAAAGCACAAAATCGCACCCAATGTGCACTGATCTCCTCTGCCCGGACCCTGCAGAGATACTCAAGCTTCCTACTTCTTTTCCCATTTTTCTGCCTCAGATCTTCTCCCTTTTGCCCTGACATCCCTGAATTCTGAAACCTGCCCTGTTCTGATGTCTGCATTATTCAGATCTTGTTTAAATCTGCCACATTTTGCTGTCAGGCTAAAGGTGTTTCATTTTTATTGTAATCTAAAATAGATGTTCTATCTCTGTTTGTTTAGGCCAGGAGATGACACCAGGGGAGGCCGACTCGAGCAGAGGAAGGAGAGGGTGGTGGTGAAACAGCTTCTTGAACAAGGGCCTGGACAGATGGAGATCAGTGGCAGCGACAGCAGGTAATACTACCTATGTCCTATGTTTCATCAACTTTAAATCCTTATTTCAGACTCGTGAACATTTTAATATAATCGGTTTCACCTTTAAATTTCACCATTAAATTTAAATTTAAATTTCACCTTTACTCTTATAAGTACTGTTATTTTTAGATATGCTTGCTTGAGCTCTGATGTAGTATTTATTTTAGCGTGAGCTACAGTGTTTTAACTACTGACTTCGCCTCTAAGTGGATTATGTCTGTCGGCGATACAGTGAATAAACAATAAACAATGTTTGTCTCCTACCCAGCGATACGTAAGAAACTCGTCATCACGGTAGTGAGAAACCAGATCGGCCATATACTCTGAATCAATCGTAATTGATGCATTGTCTCGTTTCAGCTTCGCGATCCAGCCGACGAGGAGGCTGCCGAGCAGCACGAGCAATGGGAGGCCGCCTACCAGTCGGCGATGGGCCAGCCGCCTCTGCCACCCGCCCCTCCTGCTCACGAGGACAACAGTCCGGACACAGAAGAGGCCGGGCCATCCAATACTCGACCGCGGACCGCTGAACTCGGCGTCAACCGCGAGGCGCTCGCGTTCGTGGCCGGCTATGTGGCATTCAAATGCCGGCAGATCCGCGGCGACCTCGGCCAACCGACCTCGTCTTCTCTGGCGCCAGCGTCCGTACCGAGCCGCTGGCTGGAGACAATCAGCCGCGGCAGCCTCTACGTCCCCAGCCAGTGGTGGATGGGCGTGGTGGAAGATTTCAACGACACGTTCAGTGACGTGATGGGGCCGACCGCGGTCAAGACGCCTGGCATCGTGAAGCGCCTGACAGGCTGCGTGCTCGCCCGAGCTCCAGGGCTGGACGAGCGAATCGCCAGGAAGCTGGCAAGCACGCGGCTGCACCTGCGACTCCGCTGGCTCAACACCGCTCGAGCAGCAGCTGAAGCGGAAAAGTACCAGCTGAAGAAGCTAGCCCAACACGCGAAGAGCAAGCGGTAGTCGGTGCGCTCACCTCCTACGCAGACGAGGCCGTCGGTCGGCACGTTGCCTTCGGACATTATAGGATGTGCAATGTGCATACTTCTGTTTGGACAGAGCGGCGGCGCCTGGCCGCCTGCCAACCTGTGACCCCGCCAGTTGGCCGGCTGACATTGGCCGGATGGGGCCGGTCGGTGCGCTCCTCGTGTGTGCGGCCGGTGTGGTGGCGCGACGGGTGATTCTCGACGGGTGATGGGCGAGTGAGACGGGTGATGGGCGAGTGTTGAATGATTGAGTCGCGTGACTCGGAGCCGGTCGGGGTGAGTGACTCTGAGACGGTGGGGTGGTTGCTGCGGTCGCTGTCTCGCCCCGCCGTGCCGAGCAGCGGCACGCCGAGGACGAGAGTTCCAGCCGAGTGATATCGGAGTCAGCCGCGGCCGTGCGCTGCTTCAACAGCCTACCTAGTTCGACATCTGGTACTGGCTCCGGTGGGGGGTCGTAAGTGTAACGGTGGCAGGACCTCTAGTGACAGTCACTCAGCTGATGACTCTGCTCACCTAGATGTTTCTCGGATCAGCGAGGGCATGGACTCAAGTGCGGCCGTCTCTGGAGGTTCAGTGAACCGCCGACAGACGGGGCTGGACAGACCTCGCTGCTGGACTGTGCGCGGGAGTCGGTGGTCCAGCTGGTGTACCTGTCTCCACCGTTGCGGAAGGAGGGTGTACACAGTAGCGGTGGAGGCGGCGCTGGAGGTTCAGTCAGCGGTGCCGACCGGGTAGCTGGGCAGGCGACTACCGAGAGAGATGCCCGGTCCTGTCGGCCTCTCCACCGGACGGACGGCACACGGGCGGGAGATCTACTGGACGAGTTCGGCTGAGTCCGCCCCTGCCGGTGCCACGCCACAGGGCGGCTAACCCGCGGCGGGTCTAGTGAACTGGGGAGGAGGGGGAGTGGCAGTGAGTCGCAGAGGGAAGGGGCGATGGTGGTGACACCCTGACATTCTAATGTTCAACCTACTGGACGCTCAGTGCCATTGCCAGAGCCAGATAGTACAGGGAACGGGTCGGGCCGGCCCTGATGTCGCCAGGGCCGGGAACCGGTTCAGAAGGGACGGGACGGTGTGTCTGGAGAGGGTTTCTCATCTGGTCAGGTGATGAGCTTGGGAGGTTCGGATGTGACTCGTGTGTCCAGCCAGGTGGACATTACATAGAGATTGTTATTAGAGATGAGTAGTTTCTTACAGATGTTGTCTCTGCTGTGAACACGGTGAACTGTTTCACACTACAGTTTGTGATACTGAAAGCTGTGAAATGCTTTTGATGTTGATTGAGTTTCGTTCTGTTGAAGCAGTTCCTAGTTCTACTTACTATTTGTAATGTGCTATGACCGTCCGTGATGTTTTCCGCGGCCTGATGTGGACGTCATCACGAATGATGCCCGAGGCGGCTGACCGATGTTGTACTTCAATCCTAGTATTCTGATGCCTGTGATCTAGAGGGTACTGTGGTAGGGTACTTCATCCATCGGCGTCACTTTTCGGCACGGTGTTGTGATTGGCCAAACTGGCCGTTTGGTGATCTTGAATTCTTGAGGACACTGACAGTCTAATAGATCACCGTATGGTGACTGCTGTGCTCCCTCAGAGACATCTGGTGACTAGCCACTAAGGTTCCTACCCCTGGGACATGTCACAGAGGACAATCTGCCGACGCTGTTTTCCCTGTTCCACCCACCAGACGACGTCGCGCCGCACATCATCAGGATAGGCAGCTGTGAGCCGTCTCTGGCCACGAACAGCCGGTCTCGGTGGTGTGCGTGTGCCGGCGGCCGGCGCTGTGCGTCGCCTATGACCAGCAGAGGAGTATGCAGATGCACACGGTGTGGCGTGTGCGGCGCACCGAGCCCACCGAGTGGTGGGCGCCCGACGCCGGCGAGCTCACCATGGCCGCCACGCCGCACTCGCTCTCGCGCTGTCGGTCGGATCGTCCCCGGGCTCGGCGCACGGCTCGTAGATCAGGTCCGAGGGAGGCACGCCGCTGCCACGCAGCAGGAACAACAACCGTCTGAACGTCTCCGCGGGGCTGCATAGCCTCTCGGCCGGACCTAGACAACCTGGACAAACATACGCGTATAACGATCCCTGGCTCCCTGCCGACCGACATTAGCCCAGCTCTGCCGTGGATTTTCATAGTGCATTACCTTCCATGATTGTGATTGTCGGGAGTATGTATAAGACAGTTTCGAAATTTTAAACGAATAACATGTGTTCACAAGTCGCTCTAAAGTATCATTGAACGAAAAAATCGATGAAATCGACGTATTTTCCCCGATGTTTTGAAGTTTTTGAAGATGCTCTTACGCAATAGCCGAATGACGGCCTCGAGCTTCAGAAAGTCAGTGACGTCATTTTCGTCAGCTGAGCAAAAGTAAACAAACGCGAAATGCTGTTACCTCCTATATACGGCCTTGCACGGACTAAAAGAGGATCTGGCCTCTTCAGAATATATATATTTTTGGCCATTCACTCGCACATCTTTATAATTAAACGCTTACAAATTGCGAGTTTTACGTGAAACAGGCACGCTTACCTTTACAACATCATAATATATTGATAACGTAGACTTATGGCTAAAAGTCCTTAATATATTGAAAGAGCACTCTTTTCTGATCAATATCCACCCAAAATATTTTCAAAAAGTCATCAAGGGCTCTTAGAAACAGAGCAATCATTGTACCGTTTTCGACGCATTTTTACCGGTTGAGCGGCGGCCGGGCTTGAACGCAGCCAGGGCGCGGTAATATTACCGTGTGCCTTATATTCGTCTAATACTCGCCCCTCTTCCGCTGACAGCGCGGCCGAGTGGATAAGATGCCTGTTTCATAATCCGAAGGCGGATGGTTCGCGGCTGGTCAGCTACAAGGTTTTTCGCCCGAATTCGTCCCTAGGTAGCATTCGGCCAGCCGGCAACCGCCGAGAGGGATGCGAATGTTACATTTTAACGAGCTGGCGTACCGTTAGGGATCGACTCAGCAACAAAGCATTCTTACTCTCAGATCAATATACTGAAAGCTGGCCATCTAGGGTATGAGGGCCGGGTAGGGTATGGGCAGGGTAGGGTATGGGCAGGGTTAGAGTATGGGCAGGGCAGGGTATGGGCAGGGCAGAGTATGGTTAGGTGATGGGTAGGATAGGATAGAAGTTGGGCATGGGCAGGGTAGGGTATGGGCAGGTAGGGTATGGCTAGGGACCCAAATAATACCAATAAAACGATTTTTAACCCAGCATAATGCATCCGTAAAACCAATTTAATCAAAACATAAAGTTATAGCGCAAACCATGCCATCTAGTCATAATATAGACTAGATGGCCATGTTTGCGCGATAACTGTGCGTTTTGATAGATGCGTTTGAGGGGGCATTAGTTTGGGTGTGGGAACTTTTGATTTTTATTTGTCTTATTTTGTCGGAGTTGGATATTTGTTTTGTACGACATGGTATGCTGGTGCTGGTTCCGGGTTGTTAGAGCCTTTCTCATGGTTTGCCTTTATCGAACTCAAACCAACCCTACCCTACCCTAACCTACCCATACCCTACCTTACTCATAACCTACACAAAGTTACCCTTCTCATACTCGATTAAAGTGACGTACCAAATTTCAGCGCAATCGGCCCAGCCGTTCTTGAGATATAAAACTGGCCCACTGCACGTGCGCACGCGCTAACTGAAACTCCAGATGACTTGTGCCAGCCACTTTTCTAAATTGTCCCTATCAGTGTACAAAATTTGAGCGAAATTGGCCCAGCCGTTCTTGAGATGTATAAGTGGACCCCTCACGTGCGCACGTGCAGTCGGTCCACCCCACCTTTGACATAACCATGCATCGCCAGATGAGTGCCCTGCCCGCCCACTGTCCAAGTTTCAGTTCAATCGGCCCAGTAGTAGCTGAGTTATTCTTAGTACAATAATGTGCTGTTTACTGGTAGGCGCTTATTTTCAGTGTTTGGAATTCCCCTTTGCGGGTGGTACATTGCAGCCCATGCTTTGATAGCTATTGTCAAAAGTAGTATGGCCTGCCGGGCATAAGCCATCGATCGGATTTTGTCGAAAAATACCTGTAACGTTAACAAAACACGGTCGTATGTTTGAGTCATTTTCACAAAATTTTATTGACTTTTCCATAATATTTTGAGTGGATATTGGTCAGAAAAGAATGCTCTTTCCGAATATGTAAGTTTCATAGCGATTGATCAACGTTTTAAATGTGTTTTGATGTTGTAAAGCACGTCGCGCTCCGTGCGAATCAAATTTTCAAATTAATTTTTCATTATTAAGGAACTGGTACGGATCATCAGTTTTTGTTTGCTTCCTCTGATTACACATACATTTGTCTGCAAAATGATACAACACCGATTTCATTCCGTCAAGCCGTTTTCCAGCGGCATTGATTTTCGTGTCACAATGCACGAAATCGGTCATTTTTTCTCATCCGGGGGTGCTGTCTTGCACGTGGCGCGTGCTTAACTATGAAACCATATCAATACGCTAGTTCCATCTCTCCTCTATCCAGTGGTGGCAACCCCACCTCGCTACGGCAATCTGTCGCCGAGTTTTGGGCCCGGGAAGTGGGCGCCGCAGGCCGGTTTTCGCCCGATCGTCGATTTGACCGTTTCCCGTGTTAACCCTATGGCACACGCGAGCGCGTGCTGACGGCGCACCCCTGGACCAATTAGCCCCAAATGTTAATACAAAGGTCGCCTCAACCCACAGATTGTGCCCACAAAATTTCACGTCGATACGCGGCGCCTTTCAGGCGCAATAAGACACATAAGTCCTGACGGATGGACGCACGTACGGACGACTTATAAATCATAATATAGATTCCCCTTTGCGGGCGGTGCATTGCAGCCCATGCTTTGATAGCTATTGTGAAAAGTAGAATGACCTGCCTGCCGAAGCCATCGATCGGATTTTGTCGAAAAATACCCGTTACGTTAACAAAACACGGTTGTCTGTTTGAGTCATTTTCACAAAAGTTTATTGACTTTTCGATAATATTTTGGGTGGATATTGGTCAGAAAAGAATGCTCTTTCCGAATATGTAGGTTTCATAGCGATTGATCAGCGTTTTCAATACGTTTTGATGTTGTAAAGGACAACGCGCTCCGCGCGAATCAAATTTTCCAATTAATTTTTCATTATTAAAGCAATGGTACGGATTGTCACTTTTTATTTGCTTTCCTACTATTACACGTACATTTGTCTGCAAAATGATACAACACCGATTTCATTCCGTCAAGCCGTTTTCCAGCGGCATCGGTTTTCTTCCCACAATGCATGAAATCGGTCATTTTTTCACAACCGGCGGTCCTGTCTTGCACGTGGCGCGTGCTATACTATGAAACCATGTCAATACGCTAGGCCCATCTCTCCTCTATCGAGTGGTGTAAACCGCTTCTCGCTGCGACCCTCCGTTGCCGATTTATACAGCCGGGAAGCGGGCGCCGCAGGCCGGTTTTCGCCCGATCTTCGATTTGACCGTTTCCCGTGTTAACCCTATGGCGCACGCGAGCGCGTACTGACGGCGCACCCCTGGACCAATCAGCCCCAAATTTTAATACAAAGGCCGCCCACGCCCACAGATTCGGCATGCCAAATTTCACGCCGATACGCGGCGCCTTTCAGGCGCAATAAGACACATAAGGCCTGACACACGCACGCACGCACGGACATCTTATAATTCATAATATAGATATTGAAATAGTTTAGATACTTTCATCTGCGAGACTATCGATTAAAGTGTGACTTTTCGTGGTTTTAGCTTTTGATCTTACTTGATGATTATGTCTTCTGTCATTTTCAACCCACATTATCAAATATTGGACAAAGATCGGCTGAGAAACGCACGCAACAAGGCACTCGATGACTGTCCTGAGCGCCAGCATTCACCAGAACGAAAGATCACGTGACCTACGAGAGGGGCAACACACGGTACCACTACTATCAACTATGTCACCCATCCCCCTCCCTCCCGTCCCTTCTCCTCCTTTTCCGGAGATACGCGGCGCCGCGCCGTCACCGTGTGTATCTCCGGGGCTGCGCGTTTCGATAGAAAGTTGGCCAGTGTAACGCTTCGTCTGCGTGTGTTCAAAGCCGGATCAGCTGGGTTCACGGCCCTCTCAGTAGCCGCAAACCGGCAAACTTGGACAAATACAACTGTATCTACTACAAGATCTGTCTGGACCTACTACCAGATCTGTCTGGATCTTCGACCAGATCCTACTAGACCTACAGCCAGGATCGGCTGAGTCTCCAGCGGACGTGAAGATTCCACGCGGGGCAAAAGCTGACCTAGGAGATTATATCGCGTGTTACGGACGACTCTGGGGATAAGTTGTTGTTAGAAATCGCTACTAATTAGAGAAGAGAAATACACGCGTGTTTGGTGCTGAGTGGGGCACCTCAATTATATGCTTTTAAAGGTAGATCATGGAAATCAAACTAACGTGTAATCGTCAGCCATGTGGGATGTTTGAACCATGCTTGGCAGCCAATTCCCTGCTGTGAGAATTGTCATTGACCTGTTGAGTAATCCGCACCTGGTCCTGTTGTCTCCATAAACGGCGGCGGAAGTGCTGTCCACATTAGTCGCATAATCGGCTCGTGAAAATGCTAATCTCCTTTTCACCCAGTGTTCAGGATTCAGGAATGCACTCAAATCCCGTTCAAGCTGCGGGAGACTTGTTTGGGAGTTAGGTCTCGCCATGGTTGTCCTTTCTCCACGCCATGTAGGGTTGTGCCGTATTACCCTGTTTCCGTGTCAAATTTGGGGAATTAATGTAGCCTCTTTGGATATCACTCCTTCAGATTTCAGATTAATGAAGGGAATCAGCTGCACTGTAAAAAAGATTAGCACTTAACAACCTATACGGGTGATGCAGACCGTTTTTCCGAAGGGAATCAGCTGCATGCGCTACCATGGCGTTGATTGCAAATGACAGACGGCTTTTAAAATGACGTCGATGAGAAGAAAGGACTCCATCCGGCTTTGAGTAATTGATGCCTACAGGCAGACAAGTCACGATGCTGTTATCAGTTGTGTTTCGCTTAGATTGAGCTATCTAAAATTTAGCGATACCTGCGCACATTTGTGTCGAAAGGCACTTCGTGCATCCAGCCGAATTTGCATACCTAACATTCGCATTTAAGCCTTCTACAGGAGCTTTATTTTTACTGGAATTGAACTTATATCTTCATAACACTGTATGTAAGCTCCAAGACCGATTAGGCTTTCGGCTTACACTGCAAGACTATAAATTTGTATTATGTGAATCAAAAGCTGGGTGAATATTGTGTCTGAATTCATCGTTATCGTACTTCTCGTAAATTTTAGCCACCACATAAGTGTGCCAAAGTTAATAGCACCATCGCTTCTCGTTTGTTGGCGAGTGAACGCGCGGAAAATG